AAAAAGCAGCAGCAAGCTCCTCTACACGGTCTGCAGAGACCTAAAGCTTTGATCTGCTGTTGTACAGAGACGACAGACTGGCTGAAGCCCAGTGAGCTGAACCCATGAATATCGAACTGATAGAGCAGAAGCTGTTCCTATCAAAATAGGTTGGAGCCAAACGAGCGACCCATCTCTGTTCATTACTATGTGATAACCTTATCCATGTTGTTGTAAGGCACAAACTGCAAATTTTTATTTCTTCTTTTTATCAGAAAGGAACAGAGGGACCCCCTGATCTATGCCACCAGTGAGCTAAAGATAGACTGTGATAAACTCAACCCCCTTATTTTTTTGTTGTTTATTTCAACAAAATACTAAATAATTACAGTATCGCTTGCAGTACAACTTGCTAACTCAGTTATGCTGTTAGATTTACCACACTGGTAAAGTGGAACTAAATTAAATTTTGCTTGTGTTGCTAACACCTGGGATAAATTGAATTTAAGAAAAAAAATATCATCAGCAATCCTTTCCAGAAAAGGGGTCCCAGTAATCCAGGATAATCCACAAAAACACAGTCCACTGTTCTCAGGCAGATTATTTCCTCAGAAGGGAGAAACTGTTCCAAAGATGAGTGCAGACAGTGTGGTTGGAGGATTATTGATTTTAAAAGACATAAAATAAAATGTTTTAAAGTCCTGAAAATACGATGCCTCAGATCGAATATCAAGGGAAATAAAAAGCAAAACTATTTTTTTGTGAACTCGCAAAAAAATAGTTGTTTTGAGGGGGTCAGAATCGTCATTATAAATCATCACCAAGCTGATTTGGCAAACGCGTTGGGAAACATTTGTCTATCCTAGGACTACAATATGCATTTTTATCTCACTTTTGCGCCTCCATCCACACATGAGTAAAAAATCTAGTGTCTCACCTTTCGTGCAGTAATTAAACAGAGGCATTACAAACAAGAAAATAATACTTTTGTTAAAATATTAATATTAATACCAGCTTTAACTAACTGTCCCAAATATGTCTGCTTCACCTGAATTCCAGATTTTCCTTTTTTAAATGGTGATACACCAACGGCGAGTCAGAGCCCTACCTTTTCCTGGTACTGACGTCTAGATGAGTCAAGTGACTGGATGAGCGCGGTGGCATGGCCGATGAACATGGCATAGCAGGTGGCTCCTACAATCATACTGAGCATGGTCAGCCAGATGTCCGACATGCTCTCTGGGGCTTGTCTTCCATATCCAATGCACAGCATGTGGCTCATGGCTTTAAAGAGGGCAAAGGAGTACAGCTCGCCCCATGTGTCGTTCTGTAGAAAGAGATATGAGGGTAAGAATCAGTTTAGTAAACAAAATATAAGTTAAAGAAA